AATCTTGTCTATAAGTCGAGCCTGCAGATGGTTTAAATCAGGAATAGGCAGTTCAAAAATAGTGTTTTTAAGGTAAGGCCACAAAAAGAAATCACACGGCGTCATATCACATAACCTCGGTGGAAATTCATGTTCAGCATTGAGACTTATTAGTCGGTTTTGGAAAACTTCCCTCAACATATTCATCGTGTCGCCTGCCGTATGTACCCTTGCGCCATCTTGTTGAAAGTAAAAGTTTGTCATTTCGTTTTCTTCCAGCTGGTTAACAAAAGGAGCGATAATTTCTTCTCTATACCTTTGGCAGTAAGAGTACCATTAAAAAAAATAGGTCCATAAATCCTCCTTCGATTGAGAGCACACCAAACTCCAATTTTTTGAGCGTGTAGAGGGCCCTCGACAAAAAAGTTATCTGGTTTTTCAGAAGACCACATTCTCATATTCTGTGAGTTTACGTAACCACTTAAATGAAACCAGGCTTCATCAGAAAAAAAGGTGATATTATGAAGTTCACCGTAGTTGTTTAAAAACCATTCACAAAATACAGCCCGTCGCGGAAAATCAACTTCATGAAGTTCTTGCTGACAAGTTAAACGATAGGAGAACAAACGCAAATCTTTTTTTAACACTGTGTGGCAGGTACCGACTGATACTCCCACCATTTGTGATAAAACACGTACAGAAGTTCTTGGCGCATTTTCCATTATTTGTTGGACATTTTCTTTTAATTCTTCAGTCCGCTTTTTAGGTCGGCCGCTTCCTTCTTTTCTTGTTACACTGCCCGTTTCACGAAAAACATTAACACAACGCTGAACTGCACTTTGAAAAATTTTGTACTCAACAACGCCGGGAAATTGATTTTGAAATTCTATGAAACATTCCTCAATAGAATACTTCCATATTCCATCAATCTTGCGTCCATTTCTAAAGTAGGACTCTATGATAAACACTTTTTGTCTTGAGAAAACACCATTTTAAACGCTTTTTAAAACGAAAATATTCAAATTGATAGCGGCGATATAGCGCTTTGACAGATGACGTTTTAAGTTCATTTGCTATACGCTACGCCCTACGTCCAAATTTTCAGAACCAACTTGACCACGTTTTTATTTGAACGCTCGTTATATGTGTGTGGTAAAGTTGAAATAATTTTTGGGGAGGCAAATGGTTGGTTTATAAAAAAGTATTACTCCTAACTTAGCCTTAACTTAACCTTAATCTTAGTCCTAAAAATTTAAATGTACAAAATGTAATGTATAGAGCTAGGGCAAGGTTAAGATTTTTATAAACTGATGCATTACATTCTGTACATTTAACTTTTTAGGACTAAGATTAAGGTTAAGTTACGGCTAAGTTAGGACTAATACTTTGTTATATACCAACCATAAGAGGTTTTTAGGGGGGCTAAGTCCCCTCCTCACAACTTCACCCACATGAGTTTGTAAACTTATTAAGTAGTCGCATAATTACTGTACCTACCTATTATTCTTTCTGATACATATTCAGTATTTTCATTTTCTTTATTTAAAACATATTGTTCGAAGAAAAGTGTATCTGCACATAATATAAAGAACATAGGACATAGGTTTGTACCTCCCATTTGATAAAAAGATTGTTATGCATTCCTATTAACGGTGCGTATCTTTCTTACCATTTTTTAATAGTGAGTGGACATCTTCTGTTGCCTCAACATCATAAAAATTATTTTTGTATTCATATTGTATTATGAAATAATACAATATGAATTCCCGCCATTTTTGCACAACCGTTACGTCTAGCGAGCGCCTCATTTATATGCTACAAAAAATGGCGACCGCTCCACAACACGTTCCGTGGTAACGCATAGGCCAGCAGAAAAATCGCAAACTGATGCCCAACTGTTCTGTCTGCTGAACGCGCCCATTGATTAAATATTGTTCTAGAAACTTGCCTAATATATTCAGAACAGTATCAATAGCATTATCTGCAGAATTTAATATATTTTTTTCGGCAACTACCATACTGGACACGATGGTAGCATCTCTCTGTCTTAGTAAAGTATCCAGTACTTCTAAACAACTGGATATCCGCTGCTGCAGCGTCCCGCCTATTTCTATTTCCATTTCATCTTCCAGCATTTCAGCGACCAGTCCAACCTAATAATTACGCAATATATTATATGAATAAAACCTATCTGTTTCATGAATGTGTTTATGTAATCTGGTACATTATAGATAACTCTGTGAATATATTCGCAAATTGGCAACAAACCTCTCCAACTGCTCCCCATTCGATGGCCAGAGCGGGATAACCTGCCCGTCTCCTCCTTTCGCATAACCTTTCCATCACAGAATTGGACATTCCGTAGTTGGTTTGACCGGCGTTTCCTCGTCCACAAGATACAGATGAAAATACTACAAATTGGCTGCAGAATAGAAATTAATGTTGCTTATCTAATTTTCCAATTTTTTATTTTATTTCCAAAGGGTAGGTAATAAAATATATTATCACCTTAAGTTTGCACACATCTTTCTGGTAAGCTGATCGAGATACTCCGTAGCGTATGCTTTAGGTCCAAAAGAAATTGCAAAACTTTCAGGTGTTTGGTTTGCAAAAAACCCATCAACCAAAACCACCGCCAAATTGAAAATGGCATCTATGGGGCCCAGCTCTAATGATTCCTTTAAGAGCTGTTTGCACCCTTCCTCTGTTGTTATAGGAACTGTTGATATTTTCACTATAACCTCATACATTTTCCACATCCTTAAAGAAATTAAAAAACGTGCCCAATAGTGAGTGAATTATGTATATTTGAGGTATAAATAATTTTATATAAATTTAGGATGCCATTTTTTATTACCGTAATCTGTACTCCTGATAACCGTTGGTAACTCCATTCCTTGACGTTAGCACGATTTTCCTGGCTCCTCTAAGGATCAACCAGTCAGCCAGTTCCAGTCCAAAACCTCCCAGTCCCCCAACGATTATGTAAACTCTCTCAGAATTACAAAAATGTCTAAAAGTTTGATTACAAGAAAAAATAAGTTCAAGAACATATAACAAGTAATATCAATAATTGAAGAATGACACGTTAGAATGATTTTACTATAGGAAGCACTGAAGGAGCGAAGTGAAATAATGAATAAACTTTCGTTATTAAATGTTGTGGTTTGAATAGAAAGTGGTTTAGTTTGTAAACTAATTTACCTTGAGGTGCCTGAGAACTTTGATGGATAAAGGGGCATCAGTAGCCCGTTTTCAGCTTCTCGAATTTGGACCAGAACCTTTCCCATGTGCTTGCCTGTGGCCATGAACCTAAAAGCTTGTTCAACTTCATTATATTTGAACACCGTTCTATTTAAAGGTTTAATAGCTCCACGTTTGATCAAATATGTCATTATTTTGAATAGTTTGTACTTAACACTCGGAGAGCCCCCTATTAATAAATGATCCAACATGACACCCTGGAAGCTGATACCTTTTTGGAAATGGAGCAAGCTAAGGTGTTGATTGTTGGCCAAGTCGAATTTTCCGATTTCCATGAACCTGCCTCCTTTCGCAAGGCATCTAACGGACGCCATCAGTTTATCTTCAGCCAAAGAATTTAGCACTAGGTCGACACCTCGACCTTTAGTTTCGACGAGAACCAATTGCTCAAAGGATTCGTCGTGAGAATTGCCGATATTGTTATCTAAACATTAAGATGGTTTGTAAAATGTACAGGAAAAACTTTTATTTACTACTATATCTTTATTATTGTACATGGTGTTCTGAAAGTCCGTCAGGAAACTCCAGGAGGTGATTCTATGGATTAAAATAATAGCAGTATGTAATGATTTTTTTTTCGCATTGTCAATTGTATGCAAGTTATAGCTTGTGAAAGTTCGATTAATCTCTCATTTGGCACACTAACTAAGTTGATAAAGTTCTATTGCACCAGTCAGAGAAAAGTTTTATTATGCGCCGCTAGAGGGCATTTTACCTAGATACTCAAAATTTGTTTTCATATTTTTTTCTCTTGCTAGACATCACAGCAGATCCGTAGAATCACCTCCCCCGAGTTTCCTGATGGACTTTCAGAAAATCCTGTATAAATTTCACCAACCCTTAAGTTGTGGAAAGGTCTTCTTAAGAAAATTGCGCTTTTCCTTAGTACCGACTGTCGTGAATACTGTGCATCCATAGTACAAAGCCAGTCTTATAGCTGCTTGCCCGAGCCCACCTGTGCCCGAATGTATTAAGATGCTTTCGCCTCTCACCATTTGGCCTTGCTAAAAAATTATTTAAAAAATGCGAATTAGTATGTTTTCGAGTTGAATGCTCTATTTTGTAGTATCTAAAACTGACAACGTATATGGGTACCTTAAAATAATTGATGTGTTTCACTGTTGATGAAACTACAACACCATTGGGCCGCAGACCGATACAAAGGTACAGCACAGCAATGATCATAAAGCCATCGAAAAAATTACTACTGACATATTGCAGTTAAACAATGGTCAAATTGGATATATAACCTTCGGGGAATTACCAAGAAACTTTTCTGAACGAAACTTTTGTGAAAAGGCGTTTAAACCTGATAAAGAAAATACAAAAAGTTTTAAGAGAGTATTACTTACTATTAATAAAGCGTAAATAACAGTGGCATACACCACCGGAACTGTAGCTGCTTCTTCCAAGCTCCATTCATCAGGAACTGGAAACTTCATGTAGACATCAGTTAATAACAGTGTTGAGAGTGCACAGGATGCTATACCCATGTAACGCTTTCCTCTGAGGAGGAAAACAGAACAGAAAATTATTATTCCTTAAAATTTTTAACGCTTAAATACAAATTTCTTCCATTTAAATTAATTAAAACTGAAAACTAGTTCTGATAAACCTGCCAATGTACCTACTTACTAAAAATTTTATGTATTTTAAGGGAGTAAATTCGTTTGTTAACATAATTTTGGTTTCCGACCTAATAATTACGAGCTCTAACAATATAATATTCTGTAACAAGCGATAATTTGGCAATAACACTTAATGTTACACAACCTTAGAATAAACATATTCTACAATAACGTATTCATTCTACAACCACTTTAGATAACAATTTGGTGACTATTTTACAAATACTTAAATTTGTTCTGATCTATAAACCCTTCATAGTAATATTTGCTGATATTGAACTAACTGTTCGGTCGCAGAACTTTTTGCCTAAAAAAAAAGTTTGTGCTGAAAATAAATTGTCCATTATTACAATTCGTGTGTTTGTTAGTGTTTGCGACGTTTTCGCAACAAAATTAATAATATAATAATACGAGCTAAGGGTGGAAAGAACTACTGGCATAATAAATATGATGAAATCCGCAGTTGAAGGTATAATTAAAAGAATAAGAGAATCTGATAGCATAGACATTTCTAGAAAGAATTCTGGTCGACCATTGAAAGTGATAAAAATACCATAAAAAAGGGTTACTATGAAAGAAATAACCATGATGTGGAATCAAGAAGCAGACATTAACGTATCGAAGAAATGTTGTCATCAGTAAATACACAACCCTGGTTTCGTATCTTAAGTACCTTTGGAGGCAATAATTATTAACATGAAAAGCTAAATAAAGATTTCGTTTCCATTAAGGCAGAAGAAAAACCGTTGCTGACGGAACTCCAGAAGAAGAAACATTTGATTTGGACTAAATCTAAGGCTTTAAGTGAAGGCCCAGTGAAGACTGGGCTCAAGTAATTTTGATCAGATAAGCTCCAATTTCACGTGTGTATTGGGGATTGGGTAAGATAAGTATTCCACAAGGAGTGCTTAACATATACAGTGGAAATTCCGAAATATGTCATGATTTGGAAACTTATAAAAACATGATAAAGACAATGATATTGATGTCTTGACTGGCCATCAAGTAGTCAACACCTAAATGTCATTGAAACATTATGACACCATTTGAAAAAGTTTTTGGGGAACAACCACCATTGGACAATTCCTGATCTCAAAAGATATCTAGGAGATTTAAGAATTTTGCACTCCGGAGTTTTGTAGATCTTTAGTCGACTTATGAGTCAGCCTTCTTAACTAACTTTCTTATCTGAATTTGTCAATCATTTTATTTATATAGCTGAGATGATTTGGAAAGTTTTATTTATAAATTGCATCAAATTTATAATTTGTAACAGATAAGGTTGACGTCTAAACATTTAGTTGTTAAGCTTCATATAAGTATATATTAAATATTGTAAGAGAGCAGGTTGTCACTTACCGTCTGCCTTCTCCTGAAAATTCAAATCCCAGAATGTATTCCTGCATTAGACGATCCTGCCCTATGACATCTACACTAATTTTTCCCGTAGCGACCATAATATCTTTAAAATTTAGAGCACTATAATAAATCTGTAAAAAATAGGATTGTAACATTGAAACTTGATACTGGCAACTTTGCCTTACGTTTATTAATTCTTCTTCAGCTTGTTCTTTCGTGTGGTATCGGAGAGGCCCTTCCATCCATTTCATACTGGACAAATCCCCTTTTACCGTTAAGTTTACAAAACAGTGTTCACTTTCTACATGGTTTTCTTTTTCCAATAAAAGATGTCTGTAAGTACCCCACTGGTTATTCTTGTAGATATTAACAGCCATGTTTTTCTCCAACTGATCACGATAAAATGGCACTTGTGGATCAAACTTCTGTGCTTTATCCATTACAAAGAGACATCTGACATTTTCACTCTGTGGTTCTCTTCTGAGGCAATTAACAAGACCCAATATCCCGCTTTTGTATTCGTTTTCCGCATACAGTACCAAATCTTGGTTCTCCTCTTCAGTAATTGCATTCTGTACTTCTGGTAACCACTGGAAGTCTTGTGTGTTATTTACTTTGACGTATTTAGATTTATTTGTCGTGCATCTCCTCCGAAGAAGGATGAGAGTTTCATTTGAGATTCTATGCACTGTGAAGATTGAGAAATTATGATGTAAATTTTTAGGGATATCGAACTTTGGAGATTCTCGAGTTAGAATGAAGCCATCTTCTGCTACCACAGAAAATGTTTTTTCTAAAACCTAAAATATCTATTAATAATTTCGAATTGATAGCATCAATTTACTAAAATGATAATTTACTTACATCACGCCTTCCCAAGATGTTTGAGACAATCACGAGCAAGCAATTCGATTCGTTTTCCAATTTTTTATTTTCTACTTCGATATCTACATCCGGAAGAGGTGTTTTACTCAGTATTTTAAGAATCAGTTGTATAAGTGGCTGGTTTTCTATAGTTAGTTTCACGATAGGCGACAAGGGAATTAAATCTTCCTTGGTAAATTCATCGATGAGTTCGACAGCTTCAACTTTATAAGCTAGACTGTTTTCTAGGATTATTTGCATGTTCACTCTTACAGACTGGTGTAAATCTATCTCCGTAAAGTTAGGTACGAATTTGTAGCTTTCTAACACTGGACCAGTTAACAGTGTTTTTCTTGAAATCGATGTAGCTATTAACCCCGAAATATTTACACCGCCACATCTAAAACCAGCAGTTCAGAAAAATCACTTTAATAATTAGTATAATAATAATAATTAGTATAATATATTACATAATAAAGTATAATATGAGTTGCAGATTTAATTGTTGTATCGATAATAAAAATTTACCTTATCACCCCAGTTTTTATATCATTGGTTACTGGTAGAATAACAATGTTTTGTTCGTTTCTTACGGCATTATTCAACAGCTTCGAATGTGTATTAGCCAAAACGGTCAGTTTAGAAATGAATGTCGGTATGTAAAGTAGTCTAGAGTCATATTGTAAGATCTTCAGTTGGAGCATGTTATCGATGAAGGTGACCCAATTGTCGTCCCATCTGATGTAACCATTCGAGGCAGAACTATCACATTGCTCAATTGCACGAAAGCCTTCTCTAAAAATTAAAAATAACTTAGAAAGGATTATAGTTTGATGGACAATTCTAAATCATCTACTAACTAATACCTAGATACTATTATCATTGTGGTGCATACTTATAAGTGTACCCTCGTAATTTCAGTTCCTTGTAGACGTCTTTGCTGTTCAGTTTAAGGCTTGCAGACACTTCATTACAATTAAACAATAAGTCTTCGGAACTGACATTGGATCCCAACAAGGAAATCCTTCCAGTGGCCAGAACGGAATTTCCTTCGGTCACCTCGAAATTGCCATTGCCCGATTGAATGTTGATCTTTAAATTTAAATATCCTTGTTCTGGTACTATAGTGGCTCTGATAAACCTGCAGTTTTCAAAACAAACTTGTGAAAAGCACATTTCCAGGTCATTTACTATCAAAAAGGTTTCCCATACTACATACAAGTATCCTGTTGCTGGGAATACATTTCTATCTGAAACACAAAACATTGACTAGTATTTATGATATAAGTACATATATCAATAATTTCAATATAAAATTGATTTTGGGTATTAGATTTGCAGAGTAATTATTTCATGTTTTTTTTTTGTAAAGTACAAAATAAGCCGACAGTTCATTTTAAGTTTGGATATCTAATGTATTTTTTATTTCTAATTTTAATTTAGAAGTAACTAACCATCAACAATATGTCCTCTAATGAATTTCCATTCTTTATCCTCAGCATCAATAACAACTACTCTATGCCCACATTTGGCCCCTTTTGTCAAATTTTCTATGTGATATTTTGGTACACTTTTAGGTTTTCGATGATTCCATTTTATATAAGGCGATATTATTTCTGTTCCTCTGGTTACAGGTACTGGTACAGAGGGGTATAGCTTACTTATCTGAGGATTAAGCCCAAGTTCGTATAAGCTGTAAGACAAAATAATTTATTATTTTTCATAAAAGGGTACAATTAAAGGTTCTACCTTCCAAGTCCTTTCAGAAATTCTACTAAACAGCTGCATTCAGCTTCATTAAATAAAGTAATCACAGAAACGTCTTCCAATTCCTCTGATAGGCTGTCTCCAATTTTGAGTAGGACCGAACATTGATCCGGTATATCCGTATTTTGAAATCCATTGCTAAATATATTGTTTACAAAGTAATCAACAATGCTATTATTGCTTATATCACCCTTAGTATACTCTAGATCTTTCAGCACACTGTGCAATAAACGATTTTCTACGAAAAATGCATTGTGTGACTTTCTTGTTATTTATATATTTACTCAAACTCACTCATTGACGACGAAACTTCAGTTTCCGTTTCATTTTGGAAAGTGTGGCTATTTATACTGTCATCGTCGATTACAGCCTTCTTTTCCTGAAATATATGAAATATATAGTATTTCTGGGTGAATCCCGAAAAATAATTGAAAACAATTTGTAAGTTTTGCAGGATTTTCTCAAAAATAAATAACTTTTTTGCCAAATATATTATTATCATTACATAAATTACAGAAATTCCAAGTAAATTTTATTTGTATCTTACCAGATTATTGTTGTTGTTGGGGTCTAATGTTACATTGTTTAGCATCTGGTTTAGGAAAAAAATGTAAACGGTAGTTTCTTCCAAAGATAATGTTCCATCACAGTATGAAGAAAGTAATTCGGCAATTGGATATCCGAATATCCCACTTGGCTTTACTTCTGCCAAATTGAATAAATCAATAAGACCCAGTTGAACCACAGCACTTAACAACATCGGGTCAATATCTTTGTCAGATTTCTTAAGAAAGACATCGAAAATATTTACTTTTCGGTACAGAACTTTTTGTATCCTAAAAAAAAAATAAGTGGATAATAAAATCACATCGGTATCGGTAAGTTTTGGTTTGAATTTAAATGAAACCAAAGGGCATGATACAATTTTAGTTTTTATATTCTTCTTTTAGTATAGGCTGCTAAAAGTCCAAACATTTCAAATATCAGAATTCAGAACAGTTTTTTATTTCATATAATTCACAACAACTGAAAATAATTCTTTTAAAAATAAAAAAAATTATTATATTTACCTAGTCATTTTTTCAGTTTTTTCTTTATCAGTTACCTTTGAATACATGTGGAGAATGCAGGAAGCTGCAGAAGATCGCAGCCGATGTCATACCAGTTATTCAGCTTCCCGAAACCAAAATAGAGTGGTGGAGAATCGTTAGAAAAATGTTTTAGGAATTTAATAGATCTTGTAATTACATCATGCCGAGATACAACAGTGTAACCTCTATATAAATGAGATTCGATATTACTCCTACAAAATATACCATATACAGTTTATATCACATAAAAAAGCATAACTGATATCAATCTTCAAAAGCATGTTATGTTATACTTCTTTAATCAGATTAAAAATATTTGTAATTAATTTGAGTTTAATTAGCTCAGTTTGTAAAATATTAGTAATATGACTGATAAAATATGTATAATTAAAATATATTTTGTAGCACTGATTTAGTATTTATATTGTTTATTTGATTACACTACCACAATATTTCCCTGTAGTAGTAATTTGAAAATATATCACAGAGACTAGCTGAAACTTAAAATGCTTGGATCAGCTTTTACATTAAATGCAGGGTGTAAGAAGTATGACTGTTATAACTTCAGCATGAGATAGAATAATCATAAATGAACAAAAAAGTTGCATATTACAGGGGGGTAAGATTAACAGTTTTCAAAATACAGCGAATATTAATATTGGGGAGTTTCATCACAACGTGACAACAGCGCTTAACTTAACGCTACACAGCTGATGCAGACCACGTGTGCACGCGGCAGACTTGTCCTAGAATAACAAAAATGTAAACTATTGTGAATTATTTAGTAAATTTCAAGACAATTGTTTTCCAGTTTTTAAATAAATAAAATAAAATGTATCGATTTTGTAATAAGAAGATAGTGCTGTGCTTAAATTTTAGCTCGAATTTTAGTAATTATGAATCTCTTAAAACAGGAACTTGACTTTTAATCAAATTATGAATTAGAAAAATGTGTAATTAAGGTACCCAAAGATTCACGTCGCCCAAATAATCATACGTATTAAAAATAATTTAAGGACTTACCAAAAAGCAAAACTACAACTACAACATATGCTCAAAATGTCCACCACCATTTTCGATGCACGTACGACACCGAATCCAATTTTCGCGCACTCGCTGGAAAACATCTCAAGAAAAGGAAATATTCCAGATACCAACATCAACTGAATTGCGTATTGCTGGACAGGTTAGTACCCCGTGTTAACTGCCGCGCCGTTGTCACATTGCTAGATGTGAATTTTATAAATTTATTACAACGCTAATTATTTTTTAGAATTAAGCATAAATAAGTTCAAAAAAGTGATAAACATTGTATTTTATGGTATTTTATGCACACAGTTATGTCAATATTCCTTAATTAATCGAACTTTTGTACATCAAGTTGGAGATTTTGATAATTTTTTTCTCGGAAATGGTTGAGTTTTTAGGACCCGTGTCATATAAGGTTTTTTTGTTTATTTTAATGTATTCTATCGTCTGTTAAAATTAAGGCAGTCAAACTTCTAACACCCTGTATAAATTTATTATAATTGTAGTTAAGTTAATAATTATTTTCAGGTCACAGTTTTAGACTTATGTCGAATTATGTAATAACTTGATTCTTAAGTAATTTTTTGTCTAAGCTACATGGTTATATCAATTAACGATTATTTTCTTCTCCAGTATATTTATCTTATATGCAGCAGAATAATTTCCAAGTCGAATCAGCTGCAATTGTCTATAAATATCTTAAGTCCAGATTGGGCTACAATTGAAGCCGCTCTTCACCTTTGAGTAAATAATAAATATATTTCTTTTATTTCCTTATAAAAAAATCTTCTACCTAAATTTTTTGACATCTTTCAATGATTGTCCTTTTCATTTATATCCATTGCGACACCTTCTTTGATACTGCTGAATCTGTTTAATTTTTTTTAACCCATTCCACTTCAAATAAAGATTTCTTCCTGTAGATTCTAACATTTATTACATTTTTTAATAACAATTAATAGTGGTAACAAAGTGATTTTCGACCAAGGATCTCTCGGACACAACAGTGTCAGCGGTCTGAGATAAAGGGGAAAAAGTTTGCCTCTTCAAAGCGTCCGGGCCTACAGAGATGGCGTGGGAAAGAGCGATAATCCCGCTCAACAGCGCCCCACCCGAGGTCACTTTTCCTACCAAATAGAGGCGTATTTAAAAATACGGAGTGAAATTTCTGCTTTACATATGCTGTGGTGTAATCATAGCTTTGTAGTAATTTATACAAGGTGTAACTGAAATAAGTATTCAAAATTTCTGAGCTTGTAAAACAAGTCGAAAAATGACGAAAACTTTAGTACAATTTTAAAGGGGTAACCTCGGAAACATCCAAACGGCTCGACATTAAGTCACGAAATTTTGGTGAGATATTAACCTTGATGTGCTTAATAAGTCTCATAAAATACATTTCAAAATTTGCTACAGGGGCGTGAGAAAATGCAGGACCCAGGGACAAATTTAATCATATCTTTTTTGTAGTCAATTTTTTCTAGTTGACTCGAAAATATTGAAATTTGAAGTATTTAACATAAAAAAGGTCCTCTTGTTAAATTTCACTAGGATGTGCCGTTTTCCAGTAAAATCGATTTCAATCATTCCCAACGTGCTCCAAATTCAACTTTCATTACATAGCAAAATAAATTAATTGCAGTGTGCCATGGGGAAAACAACTAGTCTGACAGTTAACAGAAATGTCAAATATTTTTAACACTCTTAATAGTAACAAATAAAAATATTTTGATATAAATAAAAGTTAAAAAATAGATACATATGAGATTACTTATTGAACTATTGTAAGCGGCTGAAACTTTTACGTAACATTTTAACAGATTTAAACCATTTAGTTTAGTTTAACAAATTAACCAAATATCTTAATTTCTTTAGCAGAAAATGTGCCCAATTCCTGAAGACGGACTAGATTCAACTTTCAAAATGTCTGCCGTTTGCCCTAATGCACGCACGTAACCTGTTTTCCAAAGAAAATAGGTTCCGGTATAGTTTGTGCTCCACATTGAGTTCATTAAATGCAGTTTCTATACGCTGACGCAACTGTTCCTCAATGTCAATAGCTTGGAAATACACTTTTTGATTTCATTTCATTGACCCCACACGTTAAAATCCATTGGGTTGAGGTCCGGTGACCGTGGAGGCCAATTTATGGCAGCATCATTTCCTCGGCCAATCCAGCGATTTGGGAAGTGCTCGTTTAACCACTGTCGACATTGACGGTTGAAGTGAGGAGGGGAGCCGTCATGCATATACCATAAGGAACCTCGTCTTACCAAAGGAATATCCTCTAAAAGTTCATACAATCTAGTAGACAAAAATTGATGGTACATTGCTCCGGTTAAATTTCCAGGCATGATGTGATATCCAAATAGATTATCTCCTAATGCAGCCCAAATATTTATTTTAAATGAATGCTGATAATGGGTTACCTTCCGAGCATTAGGATTTTCTTCGGCCCACATATTGCGCATATTAAAAACACCGCTTCTGGTAAAGGTAGCTTCATCGGTAAAAATAATATCGATAGAAACATCGGATCTTCGGCTTGCCTGTCTAAAACTAACTGACAAAACTGTCTGCGCGTGGGCCTGTCCTGTGGTAAAATGTCTTGGGCCTGTCTATAATGATAGGGATACAATTGTTCTCTTATTATCCTCCATACTGTCATATGAGACATGTTATTTTGAACTGATAATCGTCTTGTACTAAGTGTGGCGTTAGCTTCAACTAAATTTAAAATATTTTCCTCATTCAGGAGATTTCTAATTATTCTACGCCTGCCTCTCTCAAAATTGTTCCTTTTTAACGTACCCCGTTCTGGCAAACGCCTTTCTGTGCAAAGAAATGTTTTGTAATTGGGCACAATTCTGTTGGGAAACTTTTCACTGTATCGTTGTGCGGCTGCTCTTGCGCTTCCATGACATTCACCTAACGTCAAAAGCATATCTACATACTCAGAAAATGTATACTGCTGCATTTTAAAATTATTTGATATTTTTATTTACTATAAAACGGCAATGCGAATACTCAAATGACACAAATTTGAAACTAAAAATACATGACATTTTTGTTAACTGTCAGACTAGTTGTTTTCCCCATGGCACATTGCAATTAATTTATTTTGCTATGTAATGAAAGTTGAATTTGGAGCACGTTGGGAATGATTGAAATCGATTTTACTGGAAAACGGCACATCCTAGTGAAATTTAACAAGGGGATCTTTTTTATGTTAAATACTTCAAGTTTCAATATTTTCGAGTCAGGAACTAGAAAAAATTGACTACAAAAAAGATATGATTAAATTTGTCCTTGGGTCCTGCATTTTCTCACGCCCCTGTAGCAAATTTTGAAATGTATTTTATGAGACTTATTAAGCACGTCAAGATTAATACCTCACCAAAATTTCGTGACTTAATGTCGAGCCGTTTGGATGTTACGCATTAAAAACTATTTCCGAGGTTACCCCTTTAGGAGAGCGTAGCTCCCTTAGGAGCCGCCACTGACAAAAATTGTACTAAAGTTTTCGTCATTTTTCGACTTGTTTTACAAGCTCAGAAAATTTGAATACTTATTTCAGTTACACCTTGTATACCGTGTATAGTAGGATAATATCTAATAAATGTATATATTTTTGAAATGCAACTTTTCTTCCTGTTTTAAGTCAAACTCCTCCAGTCGCCTGGCCATACGCTGTCTTCACAATAGTTGCCTGGTGTCATTCAGAAGTCGTAGTGATTGACACTATCCTCGAACTATGAAGTGTATGTCACATATGTTTGGAAACCTAGCCAATTTGGGGACCTCCTAGCAGGATTGTCTTTCATTGCTAGTAACGTCCTAAATTCGCCAAAGTTGTTTCGAACCCACCCCGATATTTCGGCTGAGCGTCCGAACTACTACCACTTTTTCTGTTATTAAAACTACTATTAAAAATTAAATTTTAAGCCAAAAAGAGTAACAGCCCATACCTGAAGCTTTCGTGTAATAATTTTATATATTCAGTGTCAAATTTATTAACGTCCGTGGTACTGAGTAAGCTTTTGACAGCTTTTTCTGTTCTTCCACTTACACACACCAGTCTAGGTAAATTATCCTTTGGAATGTCATGATTTACTTTGGTTTTGGAATTCCACCGGAGCAACACATGACAGTTAGCGCCACCAAACCCAAAATTATTAACACCTAAAAAAGCGATGTTTGAAAATGTTATAGAAGAAACAGAAAATATTACCTACCTATTAATCCTGTGTCGTCGTTGAATTTCATTTTTTCTGTGACCACTTTCATTCGTCCCTCTGCTATTCCTTTTATTTCTGCCCTTGGTTTATTGTAATGTATATTTGGAGGGATATAACCAGTTTCCATACCAATAATGCACTAAAGAGTTATTGTTCATACAGGGTGTCTCACGGTGACGGCCCATTAGAATTATTTCAGAGACTATACTTCGATTTGAATTTCGAAAATTTGAGATACCGGGTTTTCGGGCATGCCTTTCTCAACTAAAATAATGACATCCACGTACCCCTTCCGGTTATACCGGAAGTCGCCATCAATTTGCTTATTTTAAATGGAACACCCTATATATTATTGCCATTTTGGATTCTACGTGTTATTTTAGGTGGACTTTTATTAAGTTTCCCTATTCCTCAAAATAAACCGTTTCCGAGATATTTAATTTTTTTCAAAAAAATGGAGAGAAACAGTGACTAGCTTCAAACCATGTGTATTTTATAGTAAAAAAGATAAAGCAACAATATTTATAGGGGGGATAGCTAGACCCCTAAGCTTCCCCATCCATACTTTCAAAGTGGCTTAATTGCATACAGCGTGCTAGAAATTTAATGCCGATTTTAGTTAACTTCAAACCTTCATAAGTCGGTTTTTTTAAATGGAACACCCTGTATGATTTTCTATATTCTGATACACAATTTTATTCTCTTTCGAACGGTATCAAGGTTCCCTATACCTATCTCTTCTAGTTTTTAAGTTATCTACTATTTTTTATGTAATCACCTAAAATCATGTAATTTCTTACGAGGATATCTGTGGAATTTTTATCAAAACAAACAACTAAACTGTCAATTTGTTGTTACTCTCTTGCAGTGACAGTTTAATTTAGAGTTTATAAGAAATGGAAAACAATACATATTTAAATGTCAGTTTTTAATGAGACATATCCAAATTTGCCACCAATGAGCAGAAAAAAGTTAAGAATAATTTTACCAAATCAACTACAGTATGGTCGAGTTTGTGCAGAAATAATTTTACCAAAACCAAAAACTTCAAATGAAGATAATGTAATAAATGTGTTAACCTATTTTAATGTTCATCCAGAATCCTCAACTCGTGCCGCAGAGTATGATTTAGGCATTTCACGAGCGTCCATTCACAGGATACTCAATATTTTGCAAACAGTTGTGGTAGATTTTCTAGATAATAGATATAATACCTTTAGACCAACTAAGGAAGTGTTGGTATCAATTAGACGGGGCTCCATCTCACTGTTACAATCAAATCGATCAACAGCTGACTGAAATGTTTGAAGATAGATGGATGAGACGCCTAGGACCGTGGAATTGGCCAGTGAGGTCTGACCTCACTCCATTAGATTTTTATGTTTGGGGAGTAATAAAGAAAAAAGTTTATTCTACACCCGTTGCTTCAAAAGAGGATTTGATTGCTCTAATACGAAAAGCGTTCCAGCTGAAATAGCAAATGCGGTTACTGATGGTGTTATCTCTAGAATCCACAAGTAGTCCAAGCATTATAGAGAAATGCTTACAGAAATTATTACCTGGACAAAAAAAATATGACCGTATAGAAAATTAAATTTTAAATTGAGTTTCTTGTTCTTTAAACTCGATCCAATATGGCGAACATGGTTAAAAAAAATCGCAAAGTTGAAAAAAACGGTTTTTCTAAAATAACTAAAAAAATATAGCACGGATTGAAAAATTTTAAATGAGAAAGTTGTAGGTTTTAAAAAGATCTATCGACTGATTTTTTGAAAGTATCGATTGCTTTGTTACTTTTCGAGATATATCGAAAAAACCGTTAAAAATCTTCTCTTTTCTCTTCTTCTATAACTCGTTTACATTTACGTGTCCATATTTGCTATTTACTGCAAGCATAGCCC